CCTGCTTTACCCTGTGCACATAACAACAAATCACATTTTATTTTAGTTATATACCCTTACTTAGGTTTAAATTATACAAGTTGACTATTCTTAATTTACACATAAAAATACAGAATGAAGTTGCAGATACCCGTCATTGGCGGAGCACTTGACTAGCAGGTTCAAAGGCCTGGGTTCAGTCCCAGCTTCTCTCTCTCCTCTCTCTCTCTCTCTCTCTCTCTCTCTCTCTCTCTCTCTCTCTCTCTCTCTCTCTCTCTGTCTCTCGGTCTTACACACACACACACACACACACACACACACACACACACCAGAAATTACTTCTATATGTCTTTTAAATTGTAACTAACAGAAAACACTACTCTTCCATTATTTTATGTTCATAATCTGTAAATATATCTCCATAAAATATCTAGAATCATGATTGTTTAGCCATGGCTACATATATGAGGAAGAAAGGAAGCTGGACAGTGTAAGCTTTTACTGGCACCCTGTCCTTCTCCGTGTAATATTAAACTTTTGAGCCAATTGTTTGTGAGTGAGAAAAAAGACTATCAAGGCCCACAAAAAAATGTAACTTTTGACACAGTAATTATACTTTTTATAATCTATCTTGAGGAAGTATTTGTAAATTTGAAATGAGTTAGGCAATCAAACACTAAAGTACTGCTAATCATAATGAGAATAAAAAAATGTACCATGATGAAAATGGAAAAATATAAACATCCAGCAGTGGGGAAGTGGTTAGCTTCTGAGGAAACTCCAGGATGGAATACATGGACATTAAGGATGCTCTTTAAGGCCACACAGGAGTGTTTGTAGGGTCATATTAAAGCATGTGGCAGATCATGATTTACAAAAGCTCTATAAATTTACAATTAACTGTAAAATATCAGTTTGAAAATTGAAAGACTGACCAAACAGTAAAAGTGATTTTTCATGTAATAAATGCATGAGTAATTTTACACTACTTTTCTCTAGTTTATAGATGTTGTCCCATGTGTATTTATGTAGATATTAATGAAAAAATAAACATTAGCAATTAAAGTTATGTATTAAAGCTTAACAAAGATAAAAGTCTCATCCCTTGCCTTCTAGTATCAAACCTATATTAATAAAAATATTATTAAAGTGTCTGTGAAATTGGAAGTATCAAGTGTTTCCCAACATATTTGACAAAATAAACAAATATACTTATCATTTCTAAAATATGAGGGATGAAATCTACTGATGTGTTCACAATTTCTGTTACTTTATTCATCAGCATATTACAGGCCATTTTATTGAAATCCTACTTTCCAAAAAATTATTTACTTATACAAATATAGCTAAAAAAATCTATGTTTCAAATATTACAAATCACTTTCCCTTTCTTTCATTGATTTTGATACATATTATTATAAGATGAATAATTTATTTTCTGTAAGCTCTACTTTGGTTGCTTCCTATTGCATTGCCCATTGTCAAGTGATTCATGACTTCTTAATTTGTTTGATATGTTTAGAACACTGAATAGTATCCCCTGCTTAAAAGGCCATATCCTGATGCTTCAAATCTCCTACGAGTACCACCTTGTATTGCAAACACACCATTGCATACATGATAAAGAGCCTTGGCGTGAGGAATCTGTGTGTGTACCCATGTGCGTTTGTTAGACAGGGGCAGGGGGGCCAGAGCTTGAAGAGACATGACTGGGGGAGCAGAAGTCTGAGGGAAGACAGATTAGAGATGGTGCAGCAGGATTGTAAATGAAGCCAGTGGGAGAGCAATGCAGGTGAACGCAAGGCAAACTGGAGAAGAGCAGGGACTGATTCTCCTCAATGCTTCCAGAAGCACTGACGGCCGCCAGACACCTTGATTTTTATCTCTATAAGGCTTCTGATTTGCCTTAAGAAATGATAATAAGCGTATTGTCTCAGGTGTCAAGTCTGTTATCCTTTATTATAGCAGTAATATTAAAGTTAGACAAAATACTTATTAAATATAGTATGTTCCTTATGTTGTATTAATATATGTAATATGTACACTGTCCTTGAAAGGAAGATGTATTACTTATACATAAGTGTATTGTGTAACTACACACAGCAGCAGCTTAAAAGATTTATACATGTGTTGTTTATACACACAATGAATTAGTAAAAGTATACATTTTATTGATATGCTACAAATCTCTAAGTATGAGATGGCCTACTGCTCATCTTAAGAAATACAGTGTCTCTATGAACTTGCTGATATTTACAATATATGACTGTATTATGGGTCAAAGAATGGGAACAATTTCCAGGGTGGTTCTGGATTTCCTGAGGATACAGATCCTGCTACCTGGCAAGACACTCCATCTCCAATACAGCTGCCCTGGACTTTCTCCAGCAAGGCAGGAGAGCCACACTAGGATTGGAAAGCCTTGTTTACAGGAGACTGTCCTGTCATCTCTTGTACCATATTCACTGAGGCAGCTCAGGACTACTGTCCTCAAACCCTTACCTGTAGTCCCAGACATTTATTTTTTCTAAACATGTGTGAATTATTTATGAAAGAACTTGCAAAACAAATTTTATCCTAAAAATAGTCTACTGATACTTTGTTTTGAATTGTAGTAAAGCAAACTAATAAACTTATGAGATTACACAGGTGTGGTGAGGACATAGTTCATAAAACCTCAGAGGGGACATACAAGGGAAAAGGGAGGTGTGAGGATGCCGGTCACAGGACCTGTGACACCCAGGCAGAAAGGGTATTACTGGACTTGGAAGGAGAAAAGGGGAAAGGATCCAGGATGGGGAGAAAAAAACATCAACAAACACAAATTGCGTATGCAAATATCATCATGAATTCTAATACTTTGTATGCTATTTTTAAAAATGAAGAGAAGTACCTAGTTTTCTGAAATTAAAGTAATGACAAAATCAATGTTACATCTGTTTGTTTCTCCTCTTCCGGAGCTCAAATACAGGGTTCACATGTGCTAGGCAAGCACTGTCCTGCTCAGCTGTGTTGCCAGCCCACATCAGTCTTCTTCATTAGTAACTGTAATGTATTAATTATAAATGTAATTAGTAAATGTAATGTATTAGTTATGTAAATTCCCTTGATCTGTTATATTCTACCAGAATATAAGGACTAAATCCACTGTCTGGAGCATTTTGTCTTGGGTCCCTACCTTCAAATTTGCATCTAGCCTTAAAATCCTTATCAAGCACATTCTTCAAGAAAGCTTGCTTTCTTTTTTAAATAAATTTTGGGAATATAATGTAATTACATCATTCCCTCCTTCCCTTTCCTCTCTCTAAGCACCTCCCTTGTCTTTCCCTTGCTTTCCTTCAAAGTCATGGCCTCTTTTTCTTTAATTGGTGTGTGTGTGTATGTGTGTGTGTGTGTGTGTGTGTGTGTGTGTGTGTGTGTGTGTGTGTGCGTGTATACTACTTTATATATACAATATATACCTGTAATATATATAACTAAATATATAAATACAGCCTGCTCAGTGTATACAATGTTACTAGTATATGTCTTCAGGGCTGACCATTTGGTGTTGGACAATTAATTGGCATGCTCCTCCCTGAGGTAAACTATTTCCCTAACTCCCAGCATTCCTTATTTCCCTGTAGTTCTTTGTCTGGGGTTGAGGCCTGGAGAGCTTTCTCTCTCCACATTAGCTTGTCTACAGTTACTATCCTAGTTCAGGTCACATTTAGCAGCCATATCAAAGTGATCATAGCCACATGGGACTTGTCTTACTTTGAAATTCCATCTCATCACATCCCTTCTGCAATTTTAGACAAAATTAGTGACATCAGTCCAGTTGTCAAGCTGTCTAACACTTTCTGGGAGGAGCCCCATTGCATTCGTCTTGACGATACTACCATGACATACTACAAGGTTTACATAAGCAGTTCAACAGATAGGTGTTTGTTCAACATCCTGTATTCCTAGATACAGGCCTGACTAGTTTAAAAACAGCTTTTAGAGATCTAACATGTAGAGCGATTAAAACACTCCAAGTTTTTTAAACATAGTTGGAATTCATAATATTAAAATGTGAAACAGATTTAAGTTGGACCCAGCAGAATGCCTGCTGCACCGTCGGGGAGGCAGATGAGAGCGTGGTGGGGCCTGGAGGCCTGGCAGAGTGCAGGGTGCTCTGCGAGAAGCAGCTGTCAGGGAAGCTCAATCAGTCCACTAGCCACAGACTGAGCTCTGTCCATTGCTTATTCCTCCAAGGTGACAGGAGCCTCTGACCTTTCATGTGTCTGTGGTCCTGGGGACACATTGTCCCATACCCTAAACTTCTCTCATCAAACAGGACACACCCTGGAAACCCAGTGATCATGAAAGAGTTTGGTGTCAGAGGATAGTTCAGAGTGAAGACTGAAACATCTTAGGGAATTTTAATATTTTCATCTAAATCTGTTTAGTGACAGGAAGACAATGGAAGTCTCTAGAAATTCTGGGGCCACTCCACTTGACCTGATTCTGGGACAGCCCCTTGGATGTACAGTTCTTGGCAATACAATCTTCTTAAGAAATAGCTGCTTCCCCTGGAGAGATGAGATGGCAGTGGTATGATGCAGTGAGTTCACATCCAACATACAACCATGCATAAGACATGCTAAGCACCATCCACATGAGCTGTGCATATACAAATGTAGCCGTGACTCAGAATTAACAGCAATATTAGCATAGACCTCTAAAAAGCCAGACATCTCTTTGACTTCACACATGTATGGTGTTTTATTTGATTTTTGAGATAGAATTACCATAGGAAGGAATTTACAGAAAATAGGAAGCAGGCTATGTAAGAATGATCAAGTCATTTTTAAAATGCAGTAGAAGGAAAACAGCAAGCTGAAAATACACGTGAAATTTTGTGACAAGAAGAAAGGGAAATATAGAATCCTTCCAGAATCATCCAGACTGATTGCCCAGCTCTGGCAGTCGCAATGACCAGATCAGCTTCCATGCACAGGCACGTGAGCGTGTCATCTCTCATTGGCTGTACTTACCCTCTTCTTCCAGCCCAGGGAGGCCTGCTTTTCTGTCCTCCACCACAGTTGTGCCTCCCACCTGGAGCTGACCTTTAGCCTTTGCCTCTGGAGAAGCAGGCTGCCTAGACATCTTGGCTTCTGTAATCTCTTGGGTTCCCTCTGTTGGTTCTTCCTCAGTAACATGTATATATCTAACCTCTGTCAATGGAGGGCTGTTATCCACATCTACTTTTGTGATTTCTTGCTCTTCGATCTCAGTTTCCAAGGACTCCTCGACCGGAAAGTGGAATTTTCCTTGGTCATCATTTTCCTGTAGGTCGTGAGAAGAGGAACTTGTGGAACTTCCCCCTGCACTGTTTCCAGAGTGGGCTTCTGCACACAGCTCTGTCGATTCGTCTTCACTGTCACTAGAGTACGGGTGACTTCTAGATGAGATCGATGAAAGGGTCTTAGTATCTGCAAAAATAATGTGATAACATCTTTGTTATATCCTAAATGTATCAGCCGATATGGAACCATATTGGGAAAAAATAATATTAAATCTTTAACAAACATATATAGCTAGAGTTAGTCTAACTGAGATTTAACTATCTGAGCTTTCTCACAGTACCCAACAGAGATACCATCACCCCCTAAACAGCAGGAAGCAATGCTAAGAAAATGACGCCCCTTCTCCCTAAGGTTTCATATTTCTCAGGGTTATGGATGATGGTTATAGGGTTGGGGGTGGAAGAAAATATTAGACTCAGTATTCTCCTTAAGAAAAGAAAAAGTGTCTCAAAAGGAAAAGAAGAATTGTAATGGATAGGTATAAGATATTATGGTAGATTATTGTATGTACTAGTAAACAAATTTAGTAAAATAGTAGCCTTAGATAATTTACACTGTAATTTACACTGTTATGGATTCTTATATGTTGATATAATTGTAAACTATTTTTATATTCCTGTTTAAGATAATTTGTATATTGATACAAATATAGAACTATACTTGTTATAATATACATATATTTCTACTCTTCATTGAAATATTTGTATATTGATACAAATGTAAATTTATATCTGTCATACTGTATGTATGTTCTACTTCTATTTAAGATATTCTGGTTATTGATATATTTAAGATTATTGTCATGTTGCATATTGCACTATACATTCCTACCTCTGTTATAAATATCCTGTGTATTGTCATAATTTTGAAGACATCATCCTTTACCGTACATTTGCTTATAGACTGTTTACCTTGTTTACAGGAAGCCTTAGTCCTTAGGTTATTTTGGTAGATAAGACTTGTAGATTTATAGTCACCTATGCTTGTCATGACTATAGTCATGTTAGTTAGGTTATCCAGATTCACAGATAACATAGGTCAGATGGACAGATAGTCTTCTAACACTTCATGGACCTAGAGAATTTGGCATTTAAATAACTTAGAATTTTGTTGATGTGAGACACAATTGCTCCTGGCAGCACCAATTTGATCCCAAGAGAACATTGAGCTTCTAAGACATTTCCATTTGGAAATTTGTCTTCTTGGCACAAAATGGCCTATTTGGCAAAGAACTGCCCTTGCCTCAACTGCTGACAATATGAGTGCTGTCCTTCTGGACAAGCAGGACACAAGGAAAAGTGACTTCTGAACTCTGCCAAGACAGGGTTAGATGGTCTTTCAGAATTCCTGCTTCTGAAAATGGTCTGTCAGATACTCTAGGCCTGTAGTCAATTTGAATGCACCAACAATGCTGAGAAACATTAGGTGACTGTCCAGGCTGCCAGCTGTCTCGGTCTACTCTTGCAAGATTCCCGAAAGTTGCTTGCATCCATCTTCCATTTCTCAGGTACCATTATATTCCTTCTCAGGTCTTTGATGGGATTGAAGACTAGCAGTTATAGTTACAACTATATATATATATATATATATATATATATATATATATATATATATATAATCTTAGATAGAACATATTACATATTAAGTATTATATTCAGGTTCTTTAGGATAGGACACCTTTTGGAATGATCTTTGTAACATGCCATTTACCTACGCTCTAGACTTCTCTGGATTTTAGTATGTGTTTCTTGCTTGATATTGTTTGCATTGGTTGTAATTCCATCTTATCTAGGTCATTATCCCTTATTACTCTTGGACAATATTTGATAACCATTCCTTTGTATATAACCTTGTATTAGGTTAGAACCTTCTTATTTAGACAAAAGGGGGAGATGTAGTGGGTAGCCATTCCAGCTTTGATCTGGAAGTTCCAACCCCCATTGGGCCTTCAGTAACTGTCACGCCTACAAGGCAGGGCCAAGAGAGGACCCTGAAGACCTGAGATATGGATGCACCGGCTCTCTTGGTTCCTGGACCTTGGATGCTGGAGGTAGACTGAGCAGAGTTCTCCAGAGAACACCGCCGGACTGTGCTACACCTTTCCCAGACCCTGCAACCTATCCCTTCCCTTGTAAGTTACCCCACAAAATAAACCTCCCTTTTAACTACGTGGAGTGGCCTTAATATTTTCACCAATAAATATACTTTAGGGAAAATTGTTCCCTCAGTACATTCTATATTATTGCCATGATAAAGAAAAACTGATCTAAAAACTACCAAGATTTTTTTGGTTTGGCTTGGTTTTGCTTTTATTTTTGTGGTTGTTGTTGTTTTATTTTGCCCTGTTATTTTGAGACAGAGTTTCACTATGCAGCTCACACAGCCTTCACACTCCAGGTGTTCCAGGCCCTACCTCCCAACTGCTGGTATTGCAGGTGTATGTCCCTAACCCAGCTTATAAACGATGAAAGTTTTTAATAGATCACATTTAACAGAAAACCAAGTCCAGGTTTGAATTTTCTTGGAGAACCTTTAGAAAGACTATAAATATCTTGCTAGTAGAAATTTTGAATACTACTTTGTTTTATAAGAACACATATTTACTTCTACTGTTTAGCCACAGCAGTAATGTCAATTATTTTTTATCTACTGTTAAGTCTACTACCCTAGAGCACTCTGGCATCTGGGTACCATCTTTGCACTTACAAAGTAGGTGGGCATTAGTAAATGCTTTTAGGATATGTGTGTATGTAGATAATACCTTTTTTGGAGTCCCTAAAAGCAAGATATCAAAAGGAAGCTGCCTGAGAAGAAGATACATTGTACAAGCTCCAAGAGAAAGTCTTAGGGGAGTTAGGAAGCCCAGCAAGGATGGGAGACAGCCAGTCAATGAGCTGTTTCAGGGATCGGCTCAACTCAGTTGGGAGTTGTCCTAGAAAGATATAATGAAATGAAGAGGGAGCTGCGTTTTCTCACTTTGAACCAGATATTGGCTATGGGCCACCCTCGGGGGATATAAACTCCATGGTTTCTCCAGGCATTTTATGCCCAAGGGTGAAGAAATTCCAGTAACCTAAGGCAACCCCTAGAAGAAGACAGGGTTGAGAAACCACGAGGCAGATCGCAGAGCAAAAATAGAGGCCTCAGACGCACTCCCAGATGGAGCCACAGACATATACTAGAAACATGTAGTAGGCAAAGATGGCTTGCACGTAGACCCCGAAGGCTATGAAAGCATCCAAGAACAAACCTCCATGCCGAATCTGTGTAAGGAGGAGGCACAATTTCAAAGTCCCTTATTATATTGCTTCCAACAAGAGAAACGTAAGTTTGTGTTTGCCTCATAAAACAATTGCTCTGGCCTGGACTGAGTCTACCAGGTTGATCTCAGTCCGTGGGGGAGGCTTTGCCCTGGAGGAGGTGGGAATGGGGGGTGGACTGGGGGGAAGGTGAGGGGGGCGGGAGGGGGGGGAACGAGGGAATCCGTGGCTGATATGTAGAACTGAACTGTATTGCAAAATAAAAAAATAAAAAAAAAAAAACAATTGCTCTGAACTTAACATTATTTTATAGAAAATGCTTTATCTTTTGGGGGTATCAGGGACCAAACATTAGTTCAGAATATGCTAACAGATGAGACTCTTTGGTGCCCCCTAGTTTTCCAGATTTATTTCCTCTGCGTTCCACATTCACTTAGCTGACTTTGTCACTGTGCCAGCTAATGTGGAGCTAAAGATGAAAACTAAATAAATAAAAGTACCAGCCTTTCCTTCCTCTTCCCCCCTCCCTCTGGCTCGGCCAGCTCTCTGTGACACACCCTCCCAGTCTAACTCCCAGTCTAAGCATAGCCACACAGACATACCAACACTTCCAAGAAAACACGAGTGGGGCTCGGAACACCAAGGCACCAACGAGGAGAGGTGTCTTAAGCAGCAGCCTCTCCGAAGCCATTCCCGTCATCACCTTGGCAAGTGCCAGGTGACTCCTGTGCTTCAGCAGAATCTCATTTGGGCCATTCACTCTCTGTTCCCCAAAAATTTTTAAGAGAAACAGCTCACTCTTCTTAGTGGTTCCACGGTGTCCCTACTCAATGCACCATTAGCTGGGACATGACATTCAGCTTGCTCAGAGACCCCAGGGCTGCACGGGCCATCTGAGTATCGGCAAGATGATTCCCACTTTGGGCTCTGTAAATTGTTTACAGGATAATAAATGGCTACCCCCTCCATCGTTTGTAGTGGCTTCTATTAGGTATATTATCTTATTTCAAAAGGCTGACAGCTCATCCTGGTTCAATTTTCAGTATGTTCAGGAAAGAAGGGGAAATGAGTAGCCTCATGGAGGCAAGGGCACCTGACCTGCAATGCAAACATTTCTGTTTTCAAATTCCTCCCTCAACTCCTGATGTCATTCACTCTCACTCTCACTTCTTGCTCTTTTTCCCTACAGACCCTGGGGTAAGACAGAGCTAAGAGAAAATGCTCCAGGTTCATGCACTAGGACTTACACAGTGAATTACATTTCTTCTCTTAGAAATAAGGCAATATTTATAAAAACGCTTCCAAATAAAGCAACTTGGAGGACATATTTGAAATTGTCATCAGAATGGAGAGACTATTGGAGGCACATAGTAAAGCGACAGCCTCTTGCCTGACTCCAGTTGCTCCACCAAGTCCTGGTCCTGTTGCTCAGAGAGCCTGTTACTGATTGTCTTATCCAGGAAGAAATCTGTGCTCAGTGTCCGAGGCTCTGCCAGAGCCAACTGCCTGCCCCACTGTTTCTGTCCCAAGCAGGATGATCGCTTCCCCCGTAGTAATCATTCAATCCCACCCTTCCTCCTTTTTTCTTGCCACTGACAATATAGATTGCCGGCATGGAATAACCCATCCCTTAATGCTGGGACGATCCTATGTGCCAGGAAATAGTCTACAACGAAAAGAAAGCCATGGCCTTTCTTCCACATAAATGGCATGCTCTTCAATGACTAATTATTGGCTCGCTTTTGCCGAACAGATAAATAACTCTCCTGCTTATTTACAGTGTCTGTTCATTTTCCTAGCCGTCACCATGAGGAGCTCTCTTCACGTGTGACTTCCTCTTCTCACCATCAGCACCTGCACTGTCTT